GACTGTCAATGGAGACCACTCTGCTCTCAACTACCGGGAGACTGAAGGGCTTGAGCGTCTGTTTGGGAACGTGCTTCCCTGTTGGCAGTACTGCAGCATTGAGCTGCTCAGCACACTCGCTGGAGTCCTCCACCGTCCCTAATGGCGAAGCTTCCCGGATCCAAGGCTGTGAGAACTTCAGGGCAGGCCTGTGTCCTTTTCCCTACGTCACACAGGCCCTAGAAATATTCTGTGACGTCCGCAGTTTTTCCCAGCAAACTGTACAAGTCTCCATCACTCCCACCCACCCAGCTTTTTAGTCAAGGACTTCCTCTATGCTATGCCTTGAGCTCTCATAAGCACTTTAAGTGTATTAATTGATGTGCTGCTCACAACAGCAAATGAGCTGTGGGTTATTTATCCCACAACAGCCTCATTTTACGCACGAAATAACTGAGACACAAAGATTATAAATGGCTGGCTCAAGATGCAACATCCAACAAGTTGTGGAGCCATGATTGCATTGTTAAATCTGATTCCTGCAAGTGGGCTGCCTGTCTGCCACACTTCAAAATGCTTGCTTTAATGAGCTGAATAAACCGCAGTGCTTATAAGTGAACACGCAGCCTAATAAAACATGATGGTTTCTAAATAGCTGTATACAGTGATTTCCAGGGCATGTGGTTAAAAATCAATATATAAATATATGTACACGCATATATGAAAAGAAATGTGTATGTGTGTTTATTTATACACACACACACATACATAGATGTTTTGCATTTCAAAACCTCTGAAAAGTTAAACTAGACTCTGAAAATAAAAGATTAACTGAAAACGGATGAAAGTGAAACCTTTCTTTATAGTGAGACTTTTGATTTATGTATGTGTTTTATATAGTCAAAAAAATAAAAATAAAAAAAGTAAACTTAAAATCGAAAACATACTAAAACCTAAAAATATGCCCCAAAGTTCTTATATGTGTATTGGGGATTGAACCCAGGGCCTCAACCATGGTAGACAAGTGTTGCACGACTGAGCTAAACCTTAAACCCTGGAAAAAGTTATTTTTATACACAGTATTCTCTGCATCTTTTGTGTGTGAGTATGCTACTAGGGATAAAACACTGGGTCTCACTTATGCTAGACAAGTGCTCCACTACTGAGCTATATCACCAGCCCTTTTTTATTTTGAGACAAGTTCTTAGCAAGTTA